TCAATTCCACAACCACAAAAGCTAGGAAGCTGAAAATTTAGAGTAATGTTTCCCATCCACGTGACCCCACAAATCTAAATCCAGCCTCCCCGCACCCACATGTAACATGTACGGCTCCGAAAAAGCTTGGCCTAGTAAAATTATTATCACGGGAAACACGGAAGCTAGAAGGCTGAAATTTCGTGAGCATATCCCCTGCCCAAATGCGACCCAGGAAATCAAAATTCAGCCTTCCCCTGCTCGCGCGTAACACGAACGGCCCTGTGAAAATTTTGGCGGATAAATTGTCTCGAGAATCACGGAGTATAGGGAACTAAAATTTTAGAGTAATGACCTCCTGTCCACGCACGACCTTGCAAATTCAAATTCAGCGTTCCTGCGCTCTCGTACCTAGGGAAAATTTTGATGGGGAAATTATTTTCTCGGGAACTATAAAAGCCAAAAAGTTGTAGTTCTGCGGTAGCGTACCTTGCCCACATACGACCCCACAAATTTAAATTTAGTCTTCCCGCGCGTTCAAGTATCATTTACCGCCCCGTGAAAGTTTCAGCAAGGAAAATTATTATCTCGACAACCACGAAAGTTGGGAATCTGGAATTTTAAGGCGATGCCCCCCCCCTCCTTTACAACAACGTACGAACCCCGTAAACCTGGATTGAGCCCTCACTCATCCCTGGGTACCACGCATGGCCCCGTGAAAGGTTTTAGCAGGAAAACTGACTCATGAACTGCAAAAGCTATGAAGTTGAAATTTTAGCGTGGCGTCCCCTGCCCACGTGCAGCTCCGCAAATTTTCAACGTCCTCGCGGAAGTTTTGGCAAGAAAAATCATTATCCTGAAAGGCAGAAGAGTCAGGAGTCCGAAAATTTCAGGAGAATGTTTCTTGCCTAAGCAGGTGCTTCACAAGTTCGAACTTTCTTCAGTATGCCGAGGTCTCACTACGGCCACGTAAAAGTTTTGTCTCAAAGATAATTCGATAGCTAGAAAATTACGAGATTGAAATTTTGAAAGGATATTCGCGCTCTGAGGTTTCAAATTCAGCTTTCATGCGTCGATGCGTGAAATTTTTAACTATTTTTCAATGTTTCAACTATTTTTGCACAAACTAAAGTACGCAGCAATGAAAATCATTAACGGGCAAACGTTCGGTGGACAAAATTGCACAAAACGCATGATCGCACCGGCTATTCTGATACGCGCTGCTATTTATTTTTTGTAGTATTTTGCTTTCTTTTCCTCTTTACTTTTGTGTGCAGTTTTTGCGTCAAGCTTCTGACTTTATTCTCGTTTCCTTTCCTTACTCTGTCCTCAAATCCTGACTGCAAAACAGCACATGAGCTCCTCTCCATCCCCACCGTAAAAATACTGTGCTAGCAAGCAGTATTTCACCTTTCCCCTATCCCAGATATCCACGGCAAAAATCAAGAACACACTTCCTCATCCTTTCCATCTACCACCCCTCCCCTTCTCTCGTCCAA